TCCAAGTTTGAGGCCAGCCTAAGCAACTTAGTAACTTAAAGAGACCCTGCCTCGAAATAAAATACAAAAAGGGCTGGGATATAGTTCAGTGTGAAGGCCCTGGATTTAATCCCCATTTACTGAAAGAAAAAAAAAAAAAAAAAAAAGGAAAGGAGTAAACAGAACCAGAAAGACGTGGTTAAAGTGTCTTGGACTGTGGAAATCTAGCAAAAAGGGAAGGAAGTACTGGTGGCCAGTCAGTTTCTCTGGACCGCAAAGGCCAACAGCCCCCACCATGTGATCTATAGCACCAGCCAGGGCCTTTGGTGAGGCTAAAATCTAAAAAGGCTGTGCTCACCACCTCCACCCACTGCCTCTCCCTTTGGTCAGCCAAATAACACACTGGCCTCCAAACCTTACTTTAGGACTGAACTGCACCTCTCTGCAGAAAAGCTGCCTCTCCCAGACTTCTGCACTCCTGCTGCGACCTGTCTGTCCCTGGGTCCCAGAGCAGGGCTGAGAGCCCTGTAGCTCTGATACGCCTTCTGAAGCTTGAAAGGATCCTGGCACAGGGAGATTCCACTGGGAGTCAAGTAGGGGAGGGGACAGCTCCATACCAGGCAGCCCCCTTGTTCCCAAAGAATACTCAGGTCAGATCCCTTCCCAGAAGGTTCCCTTTGGAAGTGTGCTGTGTGGGTGTGATGTGATGTAGCACAGCACACAGGCAGGGCCACAGAGCTACAGTATTTTTCAACGGGGAACTCAACTATGCATGATTCCCTTTTTTTTTTTGCGGAACTAGGGATTGAACTCAGGCCCTTGCGCTTGCCAGGGAACCACTTAATCCACTGAGCCATCTCCCCGCCCCAAAATATTAAGTGATACTTCAGCAAAGCTTAATGCCAAAGATCACTAAATTTTCATATGATCCCACCACCTAATGTGCTTTTTTTTTTTTTCTGGCGAAACCGGGGATTGAACTCAGACCCTTGCACTTGCCAGGGAAGCACTTATTCTACTAAGCCATCTCTCTGGCCCCTCAACTATGCATGAGCATACACATACATGGCTCTCTGCAGTATCCTGAGAAAACTACCTCCTGTGCTAGCCTGGAAGTTTCTGGGGGCAGAAACTACACTGCCTGCTCATTACCAGACTAATCGTCTGATATCCACCACAAACACATTTCTGCCTACTGTCAGATAGCATCTCCATACCCCCTGTTCCAAGTCAGTGCCTCCTGGCAAGGCCTTGTCCAACACCTGTGTCCTGAGCACTGGCCACACCTTGGGCACTCGGAATAGCTGGGTTCAGTGCTTCAGAGTCTATGAGTAGTCTGCTAGTGCTCAGCTAGGAAGGACCTCACAGGAAGTTGGGGCCTTCTATATGCTTCTGTAAATGCTACACGAGAGGTACGTACAAGTTACCACCATCTTTTTCTAACACTTACTCAAGGCCAGTGAGATACAGCTCAGCGGATTAAGCACCTGCTTTGGCAAGAACAGGGACCAGGGACCAGAGTTTGATCCCCGCTTGAAAACAGGAGGATCACTACAAGTTGGAGCTGCATAGTAAGACCCTGTACCAAATACATAAATGAAAAAACACAATAAACTTACTCCACTATTCCACCCATCCACTCTGCTTCACACTCACACAGGGCGATAAGCCATTCCTGATGAGGAAAAAAACGAAACTATCCTCAAAGTTCACCAAAAGGATCAAGTTAAAAAGCCTGTAGTAGGGGCTTGCTGGATAGCTTAGCAGTTTAAAGCACTGCTTGGGCAAAAGCAGTCAGTGAAACCGCAGGGGACCACGGTTCAATTTCCAGCTCCACAAACTGCACCAGACCTGCCCTTAGGGCAGCCTTAACTAGCCAAAAAAAAAACCAAAAAACAAAAACCACAAAGCCTGTAGTACACGTACACAATGGAATACTAGAGAAATAGCTCTTTGCTGGTAGGAAAGTTAATACCCGAAGATGATTCCAGGACAAAACATGTAGTGATACATACAGTACGATCTCATCCATCTCACACACACAACACACACACGCATGCATGCCCTAAACTAGTGATAGCAAAGACAGGTAGGGAAGGCAAGATGGAGAAAATAAGATAACTTTCTTTGTCATTCACATACATCTATGTACATATACTAAGGCATGCACAATATAAATGTATACAGACATGCCTGAAATGTTCATATTCATTTTTTTTCTCATTATGAGAGTGCTGGAGCAAAGATGTAAGAGAACCTAGCAGAATACACCCAAATTCCCCTCTAACTCCAAGGAGAGGCATAAGCAAGAGAATATACAGACACCTCTTCTCTCCTTTAGAAGAAAAGGTGGAGGGGCTGGAGAGATGGCTCGGTGGTCTAAAGTACCTACTTGGAACAAGCTTGGCAAAGCCATTAGGGACCGCGGTTCAATCCCCCAGCACCACATGTCAGCCAGCCCCGCCCCCTGGTGGGCTGAGCTGGCCACACACACACACACACACACACACACACTAAATAAATGTAAAAAATAAAATAAATTAAAAAAAAAAAAAAGAAGAAGAAAAGGTGGTACATTGGGAACTGCAGAATGCACTGATGTGAAGTTTTCAAGAACAAGACTCAGGGCTGGGGAGATGGCTCAGTGGTCTAAGCCTGGCAAGTGCAAGGACCTGAGTTCAATCCTCCGTGCCACATGCCATGATGGCCTCAGAACTCTAGGCGTGTTGTGCCAGCCACCAAAACCAGGAGTGATGGCGCATACCTGTTATCCTAGTGCTGGGGAGGCTGAAGCAGGAGGATCACTTTGAGTCTGAGCTGTGTAGTAAGACCCTGTACCAAATAAGCACCTACCTGACAAGTGTAAGGTCCTGAGTTCAATTCCCCACATCACCAAAACTAAAAGACCACGATTCAGCCAAGCTTTGGTATGACTACCTGGGTGACTTGCGGAAACCATTGAGCTTCACTAACCCAGTTTTCTCACTTACAGTCAGTGGCAGAGGGAAAGAACACAAACCAGCTGTGCCACTCACCGTGGTGATCCTTGATCAATCATTTGACCTCTCAAAGCCAGCTTTCTCTTCTACTTACTAAAAAAGGCAGATGCTGTAGCACACATTTATAAGTCCAGTACTCTGGGAGGCTGAGGCAGGAGAACTGCCAAATTCAAGCCAAGACTAGGCAACTTAGCAAGACACTATCTCAAAAATAAATAAACAAATAAATAAATGGGCTGGGATTGTACCTTGTGAAAGCCTTGGGTTCAATTCCCAGTATAGTAAAACAAACAAAAAAGGAAGGATAATATAATTTACCCTCCCAGAATGCTGAAAAAAATGATAGCATATATTTAAAGAGTTTAATACAGCATTTAACACATAATATGCACTGACTAAATAGCAGCTGCTATCATTATTGGTGAATGAGGTAATGACACTGGCCCTGCCTACATAATGGGGTATTGAGAAGACCTAATGAGATGTACCCTGAGAACAAGGTTTGGAAGTTAAGTGAACAAGGAAAGCGAAGAGCACTTATGTAAGGGTTTCTCTCCATCTGAGGCACAGCCTCTGCTCCCACCCAACTGAGATGGAGGGGAAAGACACATAAATGTGGGATGCCCTTATTATTCAGCCTGTGGACAAAATTCTAATCAGTTATACACACTAGTTGGTTCTCTCCTTTAACTACACAGAAAATGACAGCTGGGAAGAGCAAAGATGGGCTGCCAGAGGCAAGTACTGACAACTTCTGCTAATAACACCCCAACCCAGGATTCTGCAGACTCCTGGCAGCCCATCCCTCAATCCCTTCAAATCCTTTCCTCCCCATCATCTCCATGCTCCTCCAGACACTCTCTACAAAAGCAACCACACTTCTCAAGGTCACAGAGCACAGCCTCTTCCATACTTCATCCCAGGGCACCTTCCTCTCCTTAGATCCTCCACTAGCCTTGGGGGTGTTTTCCCAGGACCTTCCACAGGCACATTCCCCCCTAGGATGCCTCTAAGATGCTACTTCTGGCTGCCTTCCTGCTGTACAAAATGCTCCCCCTAATGATTCACCTCAGGGTACCCCCATTCCTCACTGTTTTCACCCCAAGACCCAGTTCTCCACAATGGACATGATCAGCCACCCTCTCCAGTTCAAGACTCTGACATCTCACATACACCTCCCATCTCTGGACCATCACTCCAACTTTCCAACACCCCCACACTGGCGCGCCCACTCTCAAGCTGTCCCAGCTCAACTCCCAGTATGTGTTCTCTGTCCTGTCCACGCCTCCAGCCCAGGAACTCATCCCGTGCATTCTGACACACATGTTCAGGCTCCCCAAAGTTTCCTCCTAGGAGGAAAGGGCTCCCTTAAAAGTCCCCTCCCACAGCCATCTTTCAGTTCCTCCCTCCCAACTGTCCCAAACACACCCCATCCCAGACTCCTGGACTTCCCATTCTCACTCCTCTCCTCCGGACTACTCCAGACCGGCCACGGCGCCTAGCGGGTCCAGGGCCCCCACATGCTCCCGCTGTCCCACCCGAAGCACACTGACACACACGGGCAACCCCCAACTCGCACCAGGCAGGAATGGGCTGGGGGATTATCCCTCGGCCTCAGGACCCTGAAACCTGAAAACCTCAGCCTACTTCCACACGGGACGTCCAGGACTTCCCCACCGACTCCTCCCGGCACCCTGCCCCGAGTTCTCCGGGGCCGTCCAGGGCCTCTCGCCGTCCGCATCGTTCGCGCGCCCTCGCTGCCTCCTGCCAGTCCCGGCCCCTCTGCCTTCTCCTCTCGGCTCGCCGCTGTCGGTCCCTGCTGTCTCCAGTCCTGCTTCTCGCATTCGAGCCGTCCAGGACCCTCCCGCCTGGGCCCAGTGCGGACGGCCACCCGCCGGCTCCAGTCGCGGTCCCCTCCGCCCCCCCAGCCGTCCCGGCGGCCATTGCTCCAAGATGGCGGCGGCGGCGGCGGGTGAGGCCGGGCTGGGCCGGGCGGGGGTCGGGGTCCTGGGCAGCGCTCACCTGCAGCTCGGCGCGCTCAGCCTCCCAGCGAGCCTTCTCGGCCTCGAAGCGCGCCCACTCGTGCTGGATAAAGTGCAGGATCCCGGGCAGGCTCAGGGGCTCCGGGCCGGCCGCGGGCCCGGGGCTTCCTCCGCCGCCGCCCCCTTTCCCTGCTGGGCCAGGCCCGGGTACAGGGCCGGAGGCCGGGACCGTCCCAGTCGGGC